ACACATCAATCGTCTTCTGTATTACAGTAAAACCAAACTATTCTACGTATGCTGAGTAGCCAACGAGTGCTTCTTTCCTCGTTTTGCCATATCAGCCTCAATCACTTTATCTTAATATCACATTATTACAGCCTCAATCACATTATACTGGGTCACTTAAGAGATTTAATTTGAAGTAGCAACTACGAGGACTTAGGAGAATCACCCAATAGGAAGCGGGGTTGGTTCCACGTTTATCCAGAAGAACAGGATAATGTTGATGAGGTTGAACCTAACATAGTAGCCAAAAAATGGATTGGTATGATAGTAGAGTACTTACTAAGAGTACTCTTATGCAGAGTACTTACTAAGAGAGCTTAGCATCATTTTACTTATACTATCAATATAGAGGTTGGCGAATAAGATGAAACAAGAGAGCACTTATTGAGATCGGATGGTGGTCGCGGCATCTGTAAGAAAATGAGCTGTGATGGCGTGACTCTTTGCCAAACACCCTGCAGGTTTGCGCCTGTAGCTGATTGACAAAACGCACTTCTGTGGCCATCTGCATATAGAAAAAACAGCCAACCGTCATTCGAAGACACTTACGGCTACACATAATTCATTGCCTGATTATTTTGATTATCTACAATTAGAAAATTGAACATTTAAAAGATGCGATAGGATGAAGCATGAAGAAATGGAGAACAGCAGTCATTTAAGTAATAATTGCTATACAATGAATTTTGAGCATCAGGCCATCAATTTCGAAAGCAAAGCATAAGTTCTCTTCGTGGTACAGAGCACTAGAAAGTTTTCGTTCGGACTATGTCGGACCGTTGTTGGAATCTGCGGTTTTATGAAGCGGTATTGAATGACTGTCAAAAGATTAGTGAGAGGCTTTGTTTGGCATAATAGCCAGGCATACATAAGTGCATCAAAATCATGGCGCATATATTTACAACATCGTTCACCACTAAAAAAGCGCTTAAATTGATACAATTCTTGTCGATCACATAAATTCAAAATCTACCACAGTCCCGAGATCAGTGTCAATATGGCTTGCCAATTCGAACTCTTGACGGCTGGTTACTGACAGACTGATGCTTGTATCGCAGAAAGAGGAGTGGTTAAATAGGCGCGGTAGTGTAACTGGTTGGCACGTGCCCTCGGAAAGGGTCAAGTGTGGTTTCGGTTTGCACTAGACCGCAAGTTACGTCATTTCAGGGCTTCTACTTACTCCTTTAGTTTACTGCGCTCTCGACGATGATTTCCTATACCTCGTCCAACTCTCACTCTACGATTAACTTCAATGAGACCAACGTGTAGGCGCCCTTGGAAGGCCCATTAGTACATCTGCCTCCCCTCTTCTACTGAGGGATGCTCCAGTATTTGGCCTTCACAATGACTTGCGGTGACCTACAATGTTTAGTCAGTGCTGCTATCTCTCCAGACAAGTCTTGTGCCAATTTATATTGCGGAGGGATGTATAGATTGATGAGCCATGAACTTGAGATCGAACAGCTGATCTTGTACACGACGCAGAGCACCTAACCACTGCGTCACTTGCGTTATTCACATCGAAAATTCGGTAAATAAACATTATCTTCACTCAATGAATTAATGATAATTTAGTTATTGAAATTTCCCATAATCAGAATCTGACTAAATAAAAAATTTGTTGCATTTTAAACAACGCACTCGAAAGCAAAATGTTAGTGTTTTTCTATTAGTAAAATGTATATGAAGGTTCTACTGCAAACTAAGCTGAGCATGAAACTGGAATTTCTCAAGCTATCGAATGACTGCAAGAACACCGACTAAAAAAAGAAATCAAAAATTGTATGCCAGTCTGGAATATGCTTATTTTCATAGCGAGTGGTTTTCTCGTTGAAATATGAGGAATATAGACGGAATGTGGAACCCATAAATTAAATCTTCATGACAATAGAATTCCCTCAGAACCTGGGTCCGTCGTACCCGCATTCACTGCCCAAAATTCTTCAGATACGCTGGCAAACAGCTCTGCGTGGATGTCCCCATAGGAAGACGGACGCGTGTATGTTATGTGTATTCCCACGGGATGCGTCGCTTTTACAAGGTGCGCGACGCCTCCGTACAGTAGCTGAGTGCGATTTGACGTCGCGCGGCATGGTACAAAATGCACACGTTTGGTACTTAGGGGAATAGAAATTATAGCGGCCACAGCTCTGCATTAGAAATATCTGTTATGGAGATCATGTCATTGCGTATGTGTCAAGTGACCAATTATAATTCTCACGGGCAGTCTAAACAGCTCTGCTATTGATTAGCGAGCATAATCCATTGCATCTTCTGTTCCCGTTAAGCTGATCTCTATTTTAAACTTGAACACTCGTGTTAGCCTTGATGCCCTTCATATTACTTCAGTGCGCCCCAGTATGAACCTGTATCGGGCTGTAGCACATCTAATCACAATTTTTGTTCGTGCATACTGACGGTTTTGTTTCCAATAGCGTCTGAGCTTTTCAATGATCCAGCCGACTAGATAAATTGTATCTCACCGTGTCCTTATTATAATGAGCGATACGTCATATATCACAGCCGCCCAAGCAATATGTATTGGTGTATATGTTCGACAATTTGAATTTTTAAAGTAGTTGAGTATATGGCACACAACCACTGCTATTCCATCGTTTGCTTCATAACTGTGTTGCTTCAGCTCACTGTGATTATCTGCAGATGGCAAAAGATCGACTGACAATATAATTCCAAAAAAGAATGATTGAAGCTCAAAAAAGGGGTTGGTACGCCAGGTCATACACCGGTGTTTCGGAGGTTCGTCCTCCTCATCAGTGACCCCCGCCCCACATTCAGCCCTGCATTGAAGCAAGGAGGGAGGCGTATGTGGTGATGGCACAGTGTACTATGACACTGTACCATCACCACCTCTCAGTCGATAGATTTTTGCTGTTAGATCAAAACTAATTCAAAAGATCGACTGTTTTTGAAACCCCCAAAAAACATTCAATATAATTCCAAAAAAAGAAGTGATTTAATGCTCAAAAAAGGGGTTGGTACGCCAGAGCCCTACACCGGTGTTTCGGAGGCTTCGTCAGCTGCATCCTCAACTCAGTGATCCCCGCCCCACATTCAGCCCAGCATTCTTTTTTTGGAATTAATATTGAATGCGGGCTTTTGGGGGTTTCAAAAAACAGTCGATCTTCCGAATTCGTTTTGATCGAACAGCAAAAAGTCATATCGACGGAGAGGTGGTGATGGTACAGCGTCATAGTACACTGTGCCATCCACCACATACGCCTCCTCCTTGCTTCAATCAGGGCTGAATGTGGGGCTGGAGTCACTGATAGGAAGACGAGCCTCCGAAACACCGGTGTATGACCCCTGGCGTACCAACCCCTTTTTGAGCTTAAATCATTCTTTTTGGAATTATATCTGCTAGATGTATTCATTCTTTCTTATTGCAGAGGTTCAGTGGCGGACGACGAAGCGGTCATAGCATATAGGGGTAGTGCTCTCTCAAACCCTAAGAGAGTAGCCCGACATTGCTCCTACAATAAAGTGAAGCTCTCTTTTTCTTCACCGAGAAAGGTTTGGTCGCAAAAAAATGTGTCTCGATTAGGCGGCAATACTTCTGGACAATCACTGACTTTTATTTATGCCGTTACGCGTATCTCATATTGCATAATCCAGAAATCAAAAAATAGCAACGACTGGATATTCAGTTTCGATTTTCAGTGCTTCCATTTGCCATTTTTATTATGACTTTGTGAAATGTAGTCAATTTCAATTGGAATTCATACTATGTGATGATCTGCGGCATTCCAATGGTTGTCTGTCTGAAGATTAACCTCTCCTTCAACACTGTTCATAGCAGTGGGGATTATCTCGGTAAGATACGTTCTAAAAATCGCTTATGCCCAACTGTATGACTTTTCGAGCTCTCTATTTTCCCATCTTGTTCCGTAAGCTGCCCCACCAATTGTATGCATTGTTCAGTTTGTTACTTGGAGTTTTACTAGCAGAACTGGATATCGTTCTCGACATCTCACGTTCAACTTTTCATAGCGCTCCCAACTGCGCGGCTCCAGGGTGTTATGTAAACGAGATTTTCAGCGTTTGCTGGGGAATGAGAAACATGGTAGGCCTTTTCTTCGAGCTGTGACATATCGTAGTGCAGATGTCCACTTCCAGACAATGGGAACTGTGGTAATTATTTTGACGACTTTCGTCTTCATAAAAATGCAAGCCATTTGGCTGAAGTCATATTCGAGTGGAATTGTGTCTTCCAAAGAGAAGGCGTTCACGCAGGTAATCTTGTAGAAAATTTTCTGCCCTTGATTCAAGAAAATTAGACCAACCTTTGCAGCTTCATAATTCTCCTATCGTCTTTGCAATCTGTCACTATTACAAGCGTGAGCCATGGCTCAGCTGATAAGATGGGTTTCCAGCTTTTTAAGGCCTTTAGCCCAGTGAACACTGCTGGACTCTTTTGTGCTGGTAAGTCGTGAGTGATCTGGTAACAGTGAAAGTGTGTTTTTTGAATGACTTATATGCGTTATAGCTGCATGTAATAATGTTGTATTTATTATACTCAACAAGGAGATCAAAAAAGGCGAGGAAGTTTATCTTTTACAAGGAGCTGTCCACGACCGTATCCACTATGATAGCAACAGTTGAAAGATAACTTTATGTCTCATCGACTCAATAAATAGTTGCATAATTTATGCTTTAATTTTGACCCGCATCAAAGCTTTCTTTTATTGTGCGAGTTCCAGTATTTCTGTCATCCAAGTCATAACGATTTGTCTTCCTTTCATAAACGTCGTAGAGAACTGTTGGGCACGTTAACTTGCAAGCTGAGAACAGTCAGGCTGAGACGTTTCGTGGGCATTCGTTATTAACCCTTTCGATCGCGCGCTGTTGTGTTGTCTGACACGCGACGCGATGGCCGAGTGGGCGGGTGCGCTTTAATAAAAGTGTGGTATACCCATTAATGCAGAGTGGTATGCAAAAAGGTTTGCGTCAGCTGGGATTCGAACCCAAATCTCACTCTTACCGTGAGCGCGTGCTGAACCATTGCACTACAGAGGCCCGTTTTTGCACACCACTCTTTCTACGTGACAAAGCGTTATCTGTCAACAGCCATCCGTCAACGGTCTGGAGGGTTAGTCACTATCGACATTGAACCCACTTATGTTGACAGATACTGGGTATCAATTATCAATCAGAGACCATTTCATCTGACCACCACTTGCGGTGGTATGATGTTACAATATGATGGGCGTCGGTAGTGCAACGGTTTAGCGCGCGCTCCTTGAAAGAGTGAGGTCTCAGTTCGAATCCCAGCTGAAGCAAACGTTTTTGCACATCACTCTGCATTATTGGACATACTGTATGCCACCGCAAGTGGCGGTAAAATAAAATGATTTCTAAAAAAATGTACTTTTCTATGGTATTAGAATTTTATCACCAGTGGGAGGTTTGATTGTTAGTGAATGGTAGAATGTGACAGAAGAGGTAGTAAAAACAGCGCCGGATCTTTCTTAAAAACCCCGTAATGTTCAAGAAAAAACCAGCTGTTTACGAAAAGATCGTATTTCAGACTGTCATTGGACATATCTGAGCCAACTTCTATACATTTAGCCATATTTCAACCATTTTTATCACTCATTTCCTATATCAACTTACCTTTAGTTGTGCTATTAGGTGCAAATAAATGTGACTCCGCTGTTTTTTTTATGTAATAATAGTTAAGGGGCGCCCTGGCCGAGTGGTTGTGATCTTATTCGTGGCGCACATAGAGCCGAGCTCCACCTGGCAACCATCTCCGGCAGTCAACAACAATACGTGTTGGGAACGCCACAGCCAGACTATCCTCCGATCAACTATTAATAGTCTGGTAAAAAATTTGTGTTCGACGAAAAATCATGGAAGTTCTTCCTTTACTTGGTCCCTAAAGGGTTGAAGGTGAAGTCCATGATCTAAGCTTTGATACATCTAGTCGCTGTGATGGATCATGTTTGCTGAGTCACTGAGTGACTTTTTGTTCGTGACGTCATAGATGATATCGTACGTTTCGAAGAAATAGACTTAAGAGCTCAAATAAAAAATTTTCAAAAAATAATTTAATATAGTGCATGTATGTGGTTTGAGAGACATTGAAGCGAAGTGTGTCTCTCATATTCGTTAGTCCTGAAATCTTTCCATTTCTCGAGTAGAGTGATTCTAGGAATAGTGTGCCATACACAGAACTCTCGCCTGCGGGACTATTTTGCATATCACTCAACAATCTTAGATAAATATCGTGCAAGCCCTTGCTCAGTGAATTGAACACTTGAAGTCGATATCTCGGTCCAAGCGGACGTCTGATTTCTAGCAGCTCTCGATGATGAACCTAAACCTGTCCAAATGCCATCGCCAAGTTAGCAAGTGGCTACGTCTTTTGTTGTAGCACGGTTCCGCTGTGTACTTCGGATTTATCATGCGTATCGCTGCTGTGCATCGGTAATTCTTATTTACGTCCCTTTCATATGATCCACCAGATCCATCACAGTGATTGGAAATGGAGTTACAGAGGATCATTAGTCAAAGGTTGCTTCTAGATGCATCACTTATGTAGAATCTTTTCGCGTGCCTCACAATTTAGTATTGGGAGAGCGTGGTGTAATGGTTAGAGGTCACTTGCGACACAAGCGTCCTGCTCTGCCATCGTTTTATAAACTTTGCGTATTACTCAACATTGTTGCATGCATAGTAGTAACATCACAGCGCTACTATAAGAAGCGACAAAATTAAATCTTGTAGGTCATGTTACAATTATTCCAATGCAAGTCTTCTCAGCGATTTACCATTTCACTAGGCTGAGGAAAAGTTCCTTGACGCTCCCTGAATATTTGGAATTTATACATAAATCCCATAAGAAACAGCAATAACTATTCTTCAAAGTAAAAAGCATCATTATGGACGATATTTTGTCTACGATCTACAAGCATCTGGATCTGCTCGAAATCAACATTTCTTGGGCACTGGATCAAAAAACTCCTGATATGCCTCCTCAGTTTGGTTAAATGTCTAATCGGCGTCACACAGGAAATGTTCTATTGAGCGGAAAAGACTACAGTCAGATGGCACAGCACTTAGACTTGAAGCTTGGTGCTGTAAGAGCTCGACTTCGTCCAATTCATCAAACTTTTCCTAGTCTTCTTTGCGGTGTGAGGTCTGGATTGTCTTGCTGAAAAAGCGACGAATAAATGTCGCGTACTTTCCCTTCAACGCACCATAGACTCGGTCCAGCTGCCCTGCTTTTTATGGAAATATTCCTGACATATTCCCATGAATCAACAATAACCGATACCGTGGAAAACAGACATAAAATTTGAATTTCTCGCGGGTGTTAAGAACTTTTTCCCCAACCTATTGTTGCAAGGAAAGTATTCTCGTAAATTTAGCACTACAGTGCTGAAGTGAAATAGCACTTGCATTTTGAAGTCTCCCCGACGGCCACTCCTACGACAAATCTCAGGACAACTAAGCAAACTAAAGTTTAGTGGAAAACTCTTGAGACTGCTAAATAAACGGCTATAAAGAAAACGAGTTGATATCAGTTTACGTTGGTACGGTCACCTCTACATATAAAATTAGAAAATCATTCACATCGGTCCTCAAGTATTCAGAATACAGCAGAAAACTTTAGATGACAAGTAGCGCTATTTGTAGACTACATACCTTGAAAGTGTTAGTACCATCAGTCGCGTTTACTTACGACTATACCTTGGAAGCACTGCAGTTAGCAAGCACATTCACTGCAAATGCGCCGTCTAGCAGACCGAATAGGAAAAGTACTGCTTACCTAGCGAAAATAAAGTTGTACTTTTCCTGATTGGAAATAGAATCTGAATTTCACAAGTGACAGACGCTGGTACTAATCACTGCACTACTGCACATCCTGCGTAAATGCATACTTTGACAGGGTAATGGTGTCATAAATCTCTCCCTCTATCGCCAAAAGGAAACTGCGAAAGTCCGCGCTCCTTTCCAGTCCTCGGTAGTGTTGTGGTTAGTATTCGGGTCTGCCACATGCGAGACCCGGGTTCAATTTCCGGCCGGGGAGTGCGTTTTTGATTGTCAATGTTCATAAAATGTTCCATTCCGCTTCTATTAATGTGATCTATTCTATTATAATAGAATCAACTTCAAATCTAATCTCGTTTTAACTTTCTGCTAATAGAAGATATGATAAGAGTATTTACTGACACTAAGAATCAAAAGTATTCTCCCCGGCCGGGAATTGAACCCGGGTCTCGCATGTGACAGACGCGGATACTAACCACTATACTACCGAGGACTGGAAGAGAGAGGGTCTTTGGCAGTTTCGTTTTGCCACTAGGGGACTGAATTTATGACGCCATTACCCTAAGAAACTAGGTATTTCCGCAGGATGTGCGATAGAGCAGTGATTAGTTCTCGCGTCGGTCACTAGTGAGAATTAGATTCTATTTCCAACCGGAAAAAACACACCGTTATTCTTGCTATTTGAGCAGTACTGTTCGACATTTGACAAATTGAATAGGCACATCGGGAGTTTTGTGATCCAAAGCCCAAGGAATGTTGATTTCGAGCATATCCAGAAGCATGTAGATAGCTGGCGGAAGATCGTGGATAATGATGCTCTTTATTTTGAAGAATAGATGTTGCTGTTTCTAATGGAACTTATGTATAAATTTTGAATATTTAGGGAGCGTCAAGAAACGTTTTCCTCAACCTTGTAATATGGTAAATCATTGAGAAGACTTGCATAGGATTAATTGCAACATAGCCTGCAAGAATTCGAATTTTGCCGCTTCTTATAACAGCGCTATGATGTCATTACTATATTTGCAAAAATGTTGAGCGATACGCAGAGTTTATAAAATGGCAGTGCAGGACGTTTGTGTCGCAAGTGACCTCTAACCATTGCATCACGCGCTCCCAATTCTAAATTGTGGGGCACGCGAAAAAATTCTACCTATGTGATGGCTCCCGAGGAACGTCTCAGCCTGCCTGTTCTCGGCTTGCAAGGAAACGTGCTCTGCAGTTTTCTACGACGTTTATGAAGGAAAGGCGAATCGATACGAATAGGATGACAGAAGTATTCTAACTCGCACAATAAAAAAAAAAGCTTTGATGCAAGTCAAAATTAAAGCATAAATTATGCAACAATCTATTTAGTCGATGAGATATAAGATTATCTTTCAGCTGTTGCTAACATAGTGGATACGGTCGTAGACAATTGTTTGTAAAAGATGAACTTCTTCGTCATTTTTTTTTGTATTTGCTTGCTGGGAGTAATAAATACAACACTATTACATGCACCTTTAACGCATATCACTTATTCTAAAAACACCCTTTCATTGCTACCAAATTACTCATGGCTTTGCAGCAGAAAACTGTCCAGCAGTGTTAACTGGATCAAAGGCTTTAAAATACTGAAAACCCCATCATATCAGCTAAGCCATGACTCACGCTTGTAAAAGTGACAGATAGCAAAGCTGATAGGAGAATTATGAAGCTGCTACGGCTGATATAATTTTTTTGAATCAAAAGCAGAAAATTTTCGACGAGATTGTACCTGCGTGAATGCCTTCTCTTCGGAAAACACAATTCCACTCGAATATGACTCCAGCCAAATGGCTCGCATTTTTCAAAGACGAAAGTCGTCATAACAGTTACCACAATTCCCATTAGCTGGAAGTGGACATCTGCATTACGATATGTAACACCTTGAAGAAATTGCTTATCATGTTCCTCATTTCCAAATAAACGTGGAAAGTTTTGTTTAGAAACCATCCTAGGGCAGCGCAGTTAGGAAAGCTATGGACAGTTGAGAGTGAGATGTCCAGAACGAGATCCAGTACTGTTAGTAAGTTTCAAGTACAAACTCATCAATGCATACAATCGATTGGGGAGCTTACGAAACAAGTCGTAAAATAGAGAGCCTGAAAAGTCATACAGTTGCGTGTAAGCGATTTTAGAATGTGTCTTACCAAGGCTCTCTCCAGTGCCATGAAAATTTTTAAGGAAAGGTTAATCTTCGGACAAACATCGGAATGCCGGAGATCATCACATAGTATGAATTCAAATTGAAATGACTATATTCCACGAAGTGATAATATAGATAGTAAATGGAAGCACTGAAAATCGAAGCTGAATATCCAGCCGTTGTTTTTTCTTATCTCTGGATATAATACATTATGAGTTACTCATAACGGCATAAATAAAGCCAGTAATTGTCAGAAGTATCGCCACCTGTCGAGACAAATTTTTGCGAAAACTCTTCTCTATGAAGAGAAGAAATTACTTCATTCGACATTTCGAC